GATGGTATTCTCTCACATATAAATTAATATTACTGCATATATTATAATTATATATATATACTGTAGTTAGACCTAGGATAGGTTAGGTTAGGTTAGGTTAGGTTAGGTTAGGTTAGGTTAGGTTAGGTTAGGTTAGGTTAGGTGTTGTTGTTTTATTGGCAGTGACTTGCATGTGGAGGATGTTGGTGAAGCCTTTTATACAGGCGGGATTCGAACACCAGTCATCCGTGGTGTGGTGGTAAGACACTCGCCTGGCGTTCCGCGAGCGCTATGTCATGGGTTCGTATCCTGGCCGGGGAGGATTTACTGGGCGCAATTCCTTAACTGTAGCCTCTGTTTAACTCAACAGTAAAATGTGTACTTGGTTGTAACAACGATTCTTCGCGGCGGGGGATCGTATTCCAGGGACCATAGGATTAAGGACTTGCCCGAAACGCTACGCGTACTAGTGGCTCTACAAGAATGTAACAACTCTTGTATATATCTCAAAAAAAAAAAAAAAAAAAAAAGGGAGACTCCGAATCACTCTCCAAAGAGTCGTATGTAGAGTGTTTTTCATTCATAAGCAGTTGGTTTGGTGTGTGTTTGTTTGCTGTTTGTTTATGAGGACATCAGTCCGTCCTCATACACAATACTCAAATGTTCTTTACTCTAACCCTAGCCTTTAGGGAGCCGGTCGGCCGAGCGGACAGCACGCTGGACTTGTGATCCTGTGGTCCTGGGTTCGATTCCGGGCGCCGGAGAGAAACAATGGGCAGAGTTTCTTTCACCCTATGCCCCTGTTACCTAGCAGTAAATAGGTTCCTGGGTGTTAGTCAGCTGTCACGGGCTGCTTCCTGGAGGGTGGAGGCCTGGTCGAGGACCGGGCCGCGGGGACACTAAAGCCCCGAAATCATCTCAATACCCTGTGTACTACCCGAAATCATACCCTGTGTACTATGTACACACAGAAATCACAATAGCGTGATGGAACAAATGAACAAATCCACAAGGGCCGTGATGAGGGTTCGAACTTGCGTACTTATATTTTATGAAAGTGAAAATTTCATGTGATAAAATCGACTCAACTATAATTTTCCGACGAAATTTTCTTCCATCCAAAAGCAATAAGTCTGAGAATTATCATGAATGATAACTAAAGTACAGTGAAGAATTATTATCATTTAATACACGCATTTTGTAAAACAGATTTTGACTTTTATTCAGTAATAATATTCATGGAACTTCTTTAAACAATCAATTGTGTGTTAAATATAATTGAGTAATTTGCTTGTAATTGAGTGTTAATTCATTCTAGATGAAGTTTGAGGGGTAATAAGCATGAAATTAGTATACCACTGTTTACATAGGCTTTGCTTAGGCCTTTATGTAACTTTAATACATATGACTTGAAGAGAATTGATATAACTAGATTTTTGAGTAAAGAACACATGATGTTATACAAACGGAAACTGTTGGGCTAGAAGTGTGTTGGAAGCATTCATATGTGTACAGGTGATAGTATTCATATGTGTACAGGTGATAGCAGTCATATGTGTACAGGTGATAGCAGTCATATGTGTACAGGAGATAGCAGTCATATGTGTACAGGAGATAGCAGTCATATGTGTACAGGTGATAGCAGTCATATGTGTACAGGTGATAGCAGTCATATGTGTACAGGAGATAGCAGTCATATGTGTACAGGAGATAACAGTCATATGTGTACAGGTGATAGCAGTCATATGTGTACAGGTGATAGTATTCATATGTGTACAGGTGATAGCAGTCATGTATGTTCAGGTGATAACATTCATATATGTACAGGTGATAACATTCATATATGTACAGGTGATAACATTCATATATGTACAGGTGATAACATTCATATATGTACAGGTGATAACATTCATATATGTACAGGTGATAACATTCATATGTGTACAGGTGATAACATTCATATATGTACAGGTGATAACATTCATATATGTACAGGTGATAACATTCATATATGTACAGGTGATAACATTCATATATGTACAGGTGATAACATTCATATGTGTACAGGTGATAACATTCATATATGTACAGGTGATAACATTCATATATGTACAGGTGATAACATTCATATATGTACAGGTGATAACATTCATATATGTACAGGTGATAACATTCATATATGTACAGGTGATAACATTCATATGTGTACAGGTGATAACATTCATATATGTACAGGTGATAACATTCATATATATACAGGTGATAACATTCATATATGTACAGGTGATAACATTCATATATGTACAGGTGATAACATTCATATGTGTACAGGTGATAACATTCATATATGTACAGGTGATAACATTCATATATGTACAGGTGATAACATTCATATGTGTACAGGTGATAACATTCATATATGTACAGGTGATAACATTCATATGTATACATTCAACATAATCAACATGTGTGATAGTACACATGTTGTTGATGATGCTATGAACTCTATAGCCGAGTACAGTTATTGGTTTGCACTCTGTGGAGGAGTGGTTCCACTCTGTGGAGGAGTGGTTCCACTCTGTGGAGGAGTGGTTCCACTCTGTGGAGGAGAGGTTCCACTCTGTGGAGGAGTGGTTCCACTCTGTGGAGGAGTGGTTCCACTCTGTGGAGGAGAGGTTCCACTCTGTGGAGGAGTGGTTCCACTCTGTGGAGGAGTGGTTCCACTCTGTGGAGGAGTGGTTCCACTCAGTGGAGGAGTAGTTCCACTCTGTGGAGGAGTGGTTCCACTCTGTGGAGGAGAGGTTCCACTCTGTGGAGGAGTGGTTCCACTCTGTGGAGGAGTGGTTCCACTCTGTGGAGGAGTGGTTCCACTCTGTGGAGGAGTGGTTCCACTCGGTGGAGTGCTTGCACTCTGTGCTATGTCTTACCGGCAGCTGTCTCTGTGTCTATGTCTCTATATTTCTCAGTGTACTGTCAAGCTGTCTATGTAGTGTCCAGATCGCTCGGTGTATTGCAAATATGTAGCAATAGCTGCGTATCCTCTAGATGTCCATTATGTATACTCTAGTTGTCTCTTATGTATACTCTAGGCGTCGCTTTATGTATGCATCAAGCTGTCAAGCTTCCTGCCATCCATATAAGTCTTTGACTGTCTTTATACACCATCTGTGTACGTTTATCTCTCATAAGTTTGTCCTGCTGTGTGCGTGTCTTTGTCCAGCTGTGTACCTGTCTTTGTCCAGCTGTGTGCGTGTCTTTGTCCAGCTGTGTACCTGTCTTTGTCCAGCTGTGTACCTGTCTTTGTCCAGCTGTGTACCTGTCTTTGTCCAGCTGTGTACCTGTCTTTGTCCTGCTGTGTACCTGTCTTTGTCCAGCTGTGTACCTGTCTTTGTCCAGCTGTGTACCTGTCTTTGTCCTGCTGTGTACCTGTCTTAGTCGCCCGTGCAGATGCCTATGGGGGTTCATCCACTCTCTTGACAGCAGAGCGTGAGAGCAAATCTCCTTATGAAGTAAAATTCATCCCTTTTTTTACCATTCCCAACAACAACAACATCCTGAAACTCATAACTAATAACCTGAGAGAATGAGCAGAAACAACTATACAACGCTACGTTGTTGGGTTATTAAATGAAAAAAATAATTGTTAAATGTTGTAAAGAGTGTAATGTTTACAGGAGAGAGAAGCGACAAACAGGCTGATCTTCTGTTGTTTACTTAGAGTTCTCGCTTCAGTAGTCCGGCACGATTTTTATGAAAAGGGAAATGTTGACAGTTTCTCTCGTCACACACTGTGCTTTGCTCGCTTCAAGAGCTGCTGCTGCCTCCTCTCATCACCAATATTTTATACTATAAGAGTAATTACTGAAAAATGTTATTTTTGGCTTGCATAAACAAGCTGCACATTATATATATATATATATATATATATATATATATATATATATATATATATATATATATATATATATATATATATATATATATATATATATATGACAATGTCAGACCACGGAGGAAAAATGAAACAGGAAATTTCCTTAAGTACTTTCGTATATTAAATACATCTTCAGAAGGTAGACCTTCTGAAGACCTTCTGAAGATGTATTTAATATTCGAAAGTACTTAAGGAAATTTCCTGTTTCATTTTTCCTCCGTGGTCTGACATTGTCATATATATATATATATATATATATATATATATATATATATATATATATATATATATATATATATATATATATATATATATATATATATATATATATATATTGTGACGGTAACGCGTTGGTGTTCGGCTGTTTAAGGCTAGGGGTATGGCCTCGTCACATAGTTATATAAAAAAAAAAATAGAAAAACTGGAACTTCGTCTGTGGTAAGGTAAGGAGAAGACACACAAAACACAAGTAAATTTTAACAATGAAATTTTAATTACGTTAAATAAATCAAAACATGAAAAAATGGACAAACAAATTTGTATAATAAAATCAATCAAAATAATAAGAATAATTAAATGACACAATGAAAAGTTACGTTAAGACAAAATAACAAGAAGTGCAACACAAAAATAAATGGGAGGTGCTGGAATATTGGCTTTAAGCCACCACTTCTCTCAGTACACGCTAGCGTCTAGCCGGGAGGAGTGGTAACTGTGGAAGCACAGAATATTCTGAGGTCTGAGGTCGTGGCGACCCCAGACATCAAGTAGTATGGGGGGGGCGAGTGCAGTTGCAGCCAGACCGGCGACCAATCAGCGGAGCCGGTAGTAAGACAGGTAGTTTGGCGGTTTGAGTCCGAGCAGGTGTCCGTGGCTGCATACGTTTTGCTCTCTGGCAAACCTTGCTGGTGTTGTTGTCGTTGTTGGACATTTCTTCCATAGTAGTTTTATATAGTTTGTTGCGACGTATTTGTAGAGGGAAGAGCAGGCTCAATCTCTTGAAGGAGATTATTGTCACAATATATATATATATATATATATATATATATATATATATATATATATATATATATATATATATATATATATATATTATTAAATATGACCGAAAAAGTAAGATTAATAATTCTAACACGAATTTTCTCAATCTTTCGTACATTTCTTTTCACTGTTGGAAGTAATTCAAAAATCAATTCTCCAAAATTCATTTTTATTTCTAGTCTGACGCGACACTTGAGCGCGTTTCGTAAAACTTATTACATTTTCAAAGACTTTAGTTAACACATACACAACTGAATAGAACTTACACATCTCCGATTTTGTTTATATCTACATTTGAGTGAGGTGGATGGGGTGAGGTGGTATTTAATAAGGTATTAATTTCATCAACACAAGCCAGAACATGAAACAATGGGTATTGAATAGAAGTGATTGTAGAAAGCTTTCTACAATCACTTCTATTCAATACCCATTGTTTCATGTTCTGGCTTGTGTTGATGAAATTAATACCTTATTAAATACCACCTCACCCCATCCACCTCACTCAAATGTAGATATAAATATGTACGAAAGATTGAGAAAATTCGTGTTAGAATTATTAATCTTACTTTTTCGGTCATATTTAATAATATATGTCTACAGGAAAGACTGCTACCAATATATATATATATATATATATATATATATATATATATATATATATATATATATATATATATATATATATATATATATATATATGTCGTACCTAGTAGCCAGAACGCACTTCTCAGCCTACTATGCAAGGCCCGATTTGCCTAATAAGCCAAGTTTTCATGAATTAATGTTTTTTCGACTACCTAACCTACCTAACCTAACCTAACCTAACTTTTTCGGCTACCTAACCTAACCTAACCTTCAAAGATAGGTTAGGTTAGGTTAGGTAGGGTTGGTTAGGTTCGGTCATATATCTACGTTAATTTTAACTGCAATAAAAAAAAATTGACCTCATACATAATAAAATGGGTAGCTTTATCATTTCATAAGAAAAAAATAGAGAAAATGTATTAATTCAGGAAAACTTGGCTTATTAGGCAAATCGGGCCTCGCATAGTAGGCTGAGAAGTGCGTTCTGGCTATTAGGTACGACATATATATATATATATATATTCAAGGCCCGATTTGCCTAATAAGCCAAGTTTTCATGAATTAATGTTTTTTCGTCTACCTAACCTACCTAACCTAACCTAACCTAGCTTTTTTTGGCTACCTAACCTAACCTTACCTATAAATATAGGTTAGGTTAGGTTAGGTAGGGTTGGTTAGGTTCGGTCATATATCTACGTTAATTTTAACTCCAATAAAAAAAAATTGACCTCATACATAGAGAAAAGGGTTGCTTTATCATTTCATAAGAAAAAAATTATAGTAAATATATTAATTCAGGAAAACTTGGCTTATTAGGCAAATCGGGCCTTGAATAGTAGGCTGAGAAGTGAGTTCTGGCTACTAGGTACGACATATATATATATATATATATATGTATATATATATATGTATATATATATATATATATATATATATATATATATATATATATATATATATATATATATATATATATATATATATATATATATATATATGAACTAGGATTCGAGGACTGAGTGAAGCAATGATACCCCAGCTACTTGGGGACATTGGGGATCGAACATTGACCATGCAAGCACCAAGGCTGTCCCACTACCAACCAGTCCGTCCTCTACACACCAACACAGGCTCAGTTGTCTCCCTTGGGATTGAAGATCCGGATTTGAGCCAATTCCTGCAGAAGATATGCAGGATGCGTCGACTTTAATCCTATGAAGATCTGATTCGCTAAAACTTGAATTGTAACGAGGCGGTGGATGGTGGAGCAGGGGATTGGAGGAGGAGGAGCAGGGGATTGGAGGAGGAGGGGGGATTGGAGGAGGAGGGGGGATTGGAGGAGGAGGAGGGGGCATTGGAGGGGGATGAGGTGAGGGTAGGAGAGAGAGGAAATGAGGAAAGGCATGTGGGGGAAGAGAAAGAGAAAGAAAGAAAGAGAAAGAAGGAAAGAAAGATATGTGAGAGGCACTGACCGTTTTCTTGATGTTAAGATGTCGGCCTGGCTCAGTGTATGTGTTATCTTGAGGTTATCTTGAGATGATTTCGGGGCTTTAGTGTCCCCGCGGCCCGGTCCTCGACCAGGCCTCCACCCCCAGGAAGCAGCCCGTGACAGCTGACTAACACCCAGGTATCAATTTACTGCTAGGTAACAGGGGCATTCAGGGTGAAAGAAACTTTGCCCATTTGTTTCTGCCTCGTGCGGGAATCGAACCCGCGCCACAGAATTACGAGTCCTGCGCGCTATCCACCAGGCTACGAGGCCCCCTACAGTGTTGTACAGTGTTGCAGGTGTGTGAGTACGGTGTTGCAGGTGTGTGAGTACAGTGTTACAGGTGTGTGAGTACAGCGTTGCAGGTGTGTGTGTGTGTACAGTGTTGCAGGTGTGTGTGTACAGTGTTGCAGGTGTGTGTGTGTACAGTGTTGCAGGTGTGTGTGTGTGTGTGTGTGTACAGTGTTGCAGGTGTGTGTGTGTACAGTGTTGCAGGTGTGTGTGTACAGTGTTGCAGGTGTGTGTACAGTGTTGCAGGTGTGTGTGTACAGTGTTGCAGGTGTGTGTGTACAGTGTTGCAGGTGTGTGTGTACAGTGTTGCAGGTGTGTATGTGTACAGTGTTGCAGGTGTGTGTGTGTACAGTGTTGCAGGTGTGTGTGCACAGTGTTGCAGGTGTGTGTGTGTACAGTGTTGCAGGTGTGTGTGTGTACAGTGTTGCAGGTGTGTGTGTGTACAGTGTTGCAGGTGTGTGTGTGTACAGTGTTGCAGGTGTGTGTGTACAGTGTTGCAGGTGTGTGTGTACAGTGTTGCAGGTGTGTGTGT